TGCTAAAGAATATTACATATTAATTACAAGTTTGATTTTCTACACATTAATATACAGTCTACAGGCCATATGGTGTTTCATCGCCATACTCTGAATTTCAAAGAGAAGAAGTCAAGAATAAATATGTAATCAAGCTCATCAGTACATTGATCATTCTTTCTAATAGTTGTTGTATTATTTTTTTCCTTATGACTCACATGACTCGGCAAATTCCACTGCCTTGTCCTTGGTGACCACGGTGCCATTGGCCATGGTGAAATCGTTGTCCTGGTTATCGTCCATCAGTCCGCACAGTCCAGACGTCCGCCCCTTAAAACTAGCAGTTAGACCAGAACGCACGTTTAGGAAGAGACGCCCCATCACCGGACTGAACCGGACGTCTACTGTGACAGATACACCTAAGGGGAAATAAAGCGTTGACAATATCAGCGCCAATCAACAAAGGCGTGAGGAAAGAAACGGGGTAACTGTTCAGATGATGGAAAAATTAAATGGACTTTCTTTATACTTCTTTTGTATTGGGCATCGTCCACGACATTAATTATACACTAAAGATACAATCACAGTATAAGCAGTCACTAANATGAAAATTCCCATTTTTAAAGCTCAGTTTTTACCCATTATTTTATCTTATTTGTTATTTTTTCCGTACCATGTTGTTTGCTGTGCGTTGCTGTGCTGTGCATTGTCTCTCCTACAAAGATGCCTAGTTTTTTTCACTGGTGCATACATTCAAATTATCGGCATATATAAGAAATGGCAGTAAATAAAATGTACTTTATAAAGTTTTTAATCTTTTCAAACTTACACTGATGCTCATAAGTTAAGCAACACCCTGATTTTTTCAGAAGTTTCTTCTATCATGATCATTATTTCATTTGTTGGTGGGATTATGCATATTTCTTTCATATTTTATAAATAACTTATTCAAGTTGAATATTTCGGTTAAAGAAATACACCACACAGCTTATTGTAATAATCAAAATAACTTTATTAACCAAACGGTACTAAAATATGCCAAACCTTGTGTCAAAAAAGTATGCTCACACAGCAAAAAGTACGTGCTGGTTAAAACAGCTTATTATGAAAAATTAAAGTTCGATCATTTAAGAATTAGTTTTAATAAAAGAAGATTGTAGATAATAGATGATTAATCGTCTATTATGCAATAAATATCGGGTGTGTTTTCCCTGGTTTTGAACAACAGCTTCACATTGTCTCCTGCAACTTGCCACCAAATTCTGCCAATCTTGCTTTGAGAGCCGGTTCCATTCTTCATTTACTGCCTGCTGGACCTCTCTAATGTTTCTAACTGGACGTTGCCTCTCATTTACAGCCCTGTCAATCATATCCTAAGCATTCTCGATTACATTGAGAATTTATAAATATGCAGGCCAATCCAAATGTGGGATACCGCGCTGTTGCAGAGCGTCTTGCACGGACCATGCTTTCTGGATGGGCGCATTGTCCTGCACCAAAATGATTTTTCTTTCTGGATTTGCTTGAATGTGTGATTGTATGCACCCCAATGGTATTTCGTCTCTGTATTGTTGACCAGGGCACCTCCCTTGAATGACGTACGGTGGCAATTTTTCATTGTTTTGCTGATATGAACTGGACCTGGTGGCATAATCGAACCAGATATCTTCATCTCTTGAGTCGGTTAATATTGGTCTACCAGAAAGAGGCTTGTCCAATACATGATGGGTTTGGCGCCATTTTGCTACCAGCTTAGACACTTGACTGGTGCTGCTTTTTTGTTGCCTTGCAATCTGTCTCTTTGGCACCCCAGCACGATGACTTCCCATTATTTGCCATCTGATTACCTCGTTGAGTCCTCTTCTAACCATTGGTTGGTCCAAAATAACAAATTGTGCCCATGAAACTAGCCAAACTGGAAGCTCCTCATGGCATGGCCAAACTGTGTTTTTCGCAAGTGGCACCCCCATTGCATATTCTATCGTGTCCAACAGTAAAAAATACTCTAATGTCACGGTCCAGTAAGTCAAAGTAAAAACAAGAGAAATATCTAGCTACTGTACAAATTTTGCCTCAATAAAATTTTTGGTTGCTGAGAAATTCGAGAAATAACAAAGTGTTGCTTAACTTATGAGCATCAGTAAGTACTGTTAAAATTAATTATAGAAAATTGTTCTTTATTACTTTCATTTACATGACTTTATTCTTTTTCCTGTCACAAGAAACTCAAGAATACATCTGTAACGGTCTAGTTTGTTCCTGTTATTTGAAAGCATTTCCTCTCAGGAAATATAATCTTTCTTCCTTTTTTTGGAAAATCTTTAAAAAATTAAAAGAAGTTTCACTTTGCATTCATTCCGGAATTTCTTCAAGTAATGTTGTCTTGAAGATGCCACCTAGCTCCACCACCCCATATTTTCCTCCCTATTGTGTCTTTCTACACTGAGCGGGAGTGGAGGGGTGATGTTTCCACATTTTTTTGTACATGGTATTCAATACTGACAAAATTAATTCTTGAAAAGTGTTCTTATTATTTACACCTACATCTGTACATGGCTTCATTCTTTGTTTTTTTTTCTGTCACAAGGGGCAGTCTTTCAAGAATATATCTGTAACAGTTTGTTCCTGTTATTTGAAAACATTATCCCCTAGGAAATATAATCGTTCTTCCTCTTTTTACAAAATCTGTAAATTTTTATGAAAGAAATTGTTGAGAACAGAGAATTCTGAGAAGTTCTTATGTACTGTAGCTGCTGTCATGGTACCCTCTACCAGTCGACAGATTGATTTTTCATAGATACCCGCAGATGTCTCTAGATAAATAGTCATGTTATAGTGAGAAATGACGACAACAGTCTGGAGCTTTCTAATGTTTATTCACAGACTCTCTTTTTCACATAATCTACAAATATTTATACTCTATTTTCCCAAAGAATTTTCCATTCTCATATTACAAAACGCTATTCATTATTTCCTAATTTAGTAATTTCATGAGACTTGTTTTTAATTTAAAATATTTAAAATATTTTCCGAATTACTCAAGCTTGGACCTTGTCCATATCGAGTATGCATGAGTTTTTAGAAACGTGCAAAGCTATAGAAAAATTAACCAATCAGATCCAACTATATGTGACTTTGAAATGTTCCATCCTTTCTTACTTCGAGAAAAGTCTCTACACTTGTTGACACTTAAAGAATTTAAACTTGCACTCAATAACCTCCTACACATTTGATTCTGTTTAAATTGTTTTGTTATTATCGAAAGTGTATGTCATTTGCTTTACAACATACACCCCTTCTTCAAAAGAATTCGTCCTCGAATTCTAAAACTTTACAACAGTCATTTACGTCTGGGTTTTTCCGTTTTTCCCTATATAATCTGCCACCCTGGTAGAGGGTACTGTCATGGCAACGCTGTAAGGGACGCGGTGGCGCCCCGAACTTAAGCAGTGGGAATAAAAGTGTTTGGAAATCCAAGACTCTTGTTGCTTACTTCTTGTCGATCGGTGAATATTAAATAGAACCTTACAACTCAACAATTTTGAATCTTGATTCTCTCTCTGTCTCTTATCTTCTATCTTTCTCTTATTAACCTATTTGGGGGCGAGGGATAATAATCTAACCAAACCGAAATGGTGCATACCGTAACCTGTTGTCTTAATACTTAATAAAAAAGCCACAATGTATATTCTTCAGGGGTGGATCCACGGTTATTTTAAGTGGGGGTTGGGTTTTTAGGAGTGGCAGGACATGGATGCTTTGACCGCCCCCCTTGGCGTAGGGCTCGGGGCCCGCCGAATAATTTTGGTATTTTAGAGGGCGAACGGTGCCTTTCGGTACTGTTTAGAACTATGATTCAGTAAGTCAAAATTCCAATTTTCAAGTGGGGACCATTGGTGTGATTTTTTCCCAGAAATTGAAGGGGGGTCAGGACCCCCCTAACCCCCCCCCCTAAATCCGTCACTGTTCTTAGACAGCATTTTTACTTGAAATCTATTATATTTTTCCATATTATTTCAGATATAATAATAATAATAATAATAATAATAATAATAATAATAATAATAATAAATAGATATGTGCCTGGCACTTCAGATCAATCGAGTGTGACTCATTATATAAGATATTTTAATTAAAATTACATTAAGAAGAGTTCATTGCACGCGGCCACAAAAAGCTACATCCGGCTGAGTGGGCGACTGAGAGGGATTCAAATAAAGGGTATTAGTGAATTAATAGCGTTGTCTTGAGTTGTTCTCTGCACAGTACATATCAAGATAACCAATAGTTTTCCGTACCTAGGGTTATTGTTAAATCACAATGGAAAGTTCCTCACCACACAGAGAGCCATAGTTGATCAGGGAAGTGAAGCAATGTTGACTGTAAAAATATCAGTAGAGACGTACTCTCAAATCATGGACATAATAATTATGTCCATGCTCAAATGTAGACACTGAACTTTTTCTCTTTGATACATATGTGTTACCGAACCAGAGGGTTTTACGCTTTTTGAAAATTTCAAAATTGGGGAAATTTTAATATTAATAAATTAAAATTATAAAAATTTTAAATGTCAGTTGGTCCCGTATGTAACTGATAATAACGCATGGAATTATTCTTGTTGTCCCGTGATCCAACCATATCACAATGCAGCAAGCAGTAAGTAAACTAGCAGCGTTTCTTCCTTAATATATTATGACCAATTAATAATTCCTAATTTTGACTACCATTAATTTCTCAGGATTTCTTTGTAAATTTAAGTTGATATTTGAAACTGTTCTGGTAATTTTAATCATTTGCTGTTCTTTTTTGTCACAAATTTATTATCTTGAAGCACCGTAATAATCAAAACATTCATTTCATTTCCAAATAATTTTTCAAGTTTTCTTGGATCTGCGCATCTAACATTCATATGTCAAAATCAAAGCCGCCACGGATCAGATATCGCATGTATCGTCATCAGCACTTAGTGTTTGCATCTAAAAGCATTGTTTATAATATCTGAGAAAATAAAACAATGTCTAAGTGAATGCCTGATTGCTAAAAGCGTGTCTCCCAGGTGGAAATGAAGCGAAGTCAGTCTCGTTCTCACTATCCGCCGAGGCATCAATGTCCTCAATGTTGCCGATGTCTCCTTCCGTGACGTATTTGTTTGCCCCAATAGATGTCATCTGGTGTGTGTAGGCCATGGGGGGCGATCTACGGGGATGCTCTGGCATTGAGCTGACTTTATATTTCTGTCCCCAGACACAGCGATAGACAATAACAGCAATAAGGCACAGTGCCACCACTCCACCCACTGCGCCTGCGCCGGCCTTGAATCCCACCGTCTGGTACCATGGTGCTTGTGGGGACTTTACCACAGTGGCTGAAATAAAGGGAATATAATTTGTTTCATTTACTTGCGGTAATTTTTTTCTGTACATCATCCTCGGTTTACCTTCTCTATTTCTTTCATTTCTTTTGGTCATTTCACTTTTTTCTCAGCTTGGTGTTCCCATGACAAATTTTTTGTAAATATACATGTATATGTTCAGAAAACATACAGGCATTGCACGTATAACTAAGGAATTAGGGTCACTTGGAAAACATTATAAAATTACCCTATTAGCCTATAGGCTAATCACCGGGTGTGGAAATTACTAACTTTTTATCAGGTGTTTGTATTCGTTTAGATAAAAGCGGGATTCAATTCATACATGTTAACTTGGTCATTGTTTTGAGCTACTGTAACATACCTTGTGTTGTCGTCGTCTTCGGCGTTGGTACTGTCTCACCACTTGTCACTTTACCCGCGGTGCCCGTAGTTGAAGAACTCCCAAGGGTCGTGGAAACCGGTGATACGGTGTTAGTCGTAGGGTTCACAACGATTGTATCATTTCGTTCCTCAACAATGTGTCCGTGGACAGAAATAACAACAGGCAAGATGGCGGACTTTGGTGGTTCTCCTCCATCCTCCGCCAAAATGGTAAGGTCATATCGATACTGGGCTGGGTAACGCACGACGATCAGCTCTCCGGTGTCTTCATTGACAGCAAATACAGCATCAGGGTTGCTCTCGTTGGTTATAGAGTGTCGAACCGTTCCGTACGACCCACTGTCTTTGTCTGTGGCCAGGAACCGCCCTACCGTTCGTCCTAGCTCGCCGCTGGCATTCACTGGTATCTCTGGGAAACCAAACAACTGGAAAAGTGGTGCGTTGTCGTTGACGTCTTGGACAATGATGGCGACCTTGGAGGCAGCACTCTTGGGTGGTACGCCCTTGTCAGATGCCACTACTGTCATAATGAACTCCTGCGGAAGACTGTCGTAGTCCAGTTTGGCTACCACTGTTAACTGTCCCTGACTGTCCATGTTGAAGAACCGCTCTGCTCCATTGCTTCCAGAGAAAGTATACTCAAGTTTGCCATTTCGCCCTGTATCTAAGTCTGTCGCGTTAATCATGGTAATGTTCTCTTGAAACACGATAATAGTCCCTGGTGGGGCATTTTCCGGCACAGTGCCATTGTACCAGTTGTATGCAAACATTGGGCTGTGATAGTTAGAACCAATTCTAATAGAACAGTCGACGCCGTCGTATTCATCCAGACACTCGCACTGGTTAGGTGAGACACAACTTCCATTACCAGAGCAGTTGGCCACATCACGGCAGACGGGCTCGTCACAGCGTTCACCCAGCCAGCCAGCAGAACACAAGCACGTGTCCAATAATACACACTGTCCATTGCCTGCATAGAGGAAAGATAAACACAAGCATGTCACATAGCGTAATAGGGAGATGATCAAATACAATCGTTGCAGATCTAACACATAAGACTTATGGCTTTGTTTAAAACTAGTTTATTCCACACTAAGACATTGCAATCGTGTGCAAACTCCCAATGAACGCATTACTGGCAGTTATCTTCTGGTCAAGTGGATGTTTTTATCGCTTTCTCTTTGAAAATAAACAGGTAAGACGCACAGTTAGAATAAATATACAACCATATATTATGACATTGTGGGTATGTATTGAGTTATACAGTTATTACCAGAGCAGTATCCAAGAGCTTCACATGAGAAATTAGAACAGTCATTTCCCCCGAAGCCTGTGTCACAGTTACAGAGGTTGGGCTCCAAACACGCACCGTGTCCTGAACAGTTGTTTACAGTAGAACATGAGACGGTGTCACACGTGTCGCCACGGTAGCCTTCAAAACACCTGTTACAAATATAATTTTTGAAGGGAGAAAATAAAATCATAAATACATGTACTGTTTTCCTCCCTCTGAAATTCTCTAAATTTGTCACAGGGCCAGTTGTAAAAATTATAATAACAATTTTAATATCATCTTATTTTTAGTGTCATAAGTAGACCCAGCCTAAGCTTTCACCAAACATATATTTTAAAAACCGTTGTTACATGTCACTTTCGTAGGCAATTGCTGTGGGATTTCTGTTATTAAGATATATATAACCAAACGCCTGCCACCTCTAAATGAAGGTAACGAAAAGCACCATACCTGCACATAACAGCCGTATCATTCCCTTCAAAGGCAGCGCATATACCGTGGCCACTACAGTCATTTAACGATGTGCAATTCTTCACTGCGGTACAGTTTTCACCATGGTAACCGTCATAACACGTGCACGTGTGAGGTGACGTACACACCCCGTGTAGGGAGCAGTCATTATTTGAAGAACAGTCTGGCAGAGCGCAGCTGTCTCCTTGCCAACCATTGTCACAACTGCATACATCGTATCCTTTACACTGACCGTGGCCTGGAAAGGTACATGCTTCAACATTCTTATAATTGAACTACTGATGATGACGCACATAACAGTATAGTACTGCCTTATTCTATCGCATATTGTTACATGTCGAATTATATAAAAACATTTTGTATTTTTGTTTTTGTGTACTTTCTCAAATGCACCCCTTTTTTCATATCATTCACGTAAAAACAATGGTAAAAATCTCTCCTATGAACAACACACCTGAGCACGCCGCCAGACGTTCACAAGAAAACTCTGTGCAATTTGGCCCCGCCCATCCGCTGTCACATTTGCATACGTCAAAGTCCACGCAGACCCCGTGACTGGAGCATTCAGACACGTTGAAACAAGTTGCAACGATGCTACAGTCACTACCTAAATGTACAGAATTGAAAACGTGCGTAAATTAGTTCGTGTT